CGGAGGTCTTGAAATGCCGCTGGCCTACTTGAGGGCCAGAGCGAGCCAACCCCCGGCAGCTGACTTGCCCAAACCCTCCGGCTCCTCCCTCCCTGCGTTCCCACACACACACCCTCTTCCCCACCTTTGTGGACCTGCTCTCCCATGTCATGTGGGAGGAATGTGACTTTCTCTTCTCCCTCTTTCCCATCCTGCACCCTGTTCTAAATGTTTATCCTTCCCCCTTTGCCCAGACCCACTCCTCATGGTGCTCATGAATTTCTGGGGTCTTCTAGCAGAAGCTACTGACCAGCCAACCAATTTGATTGCTTTGCATGCAGACATGCTGCAACAGCTCCTACCTAAAACATAAATCAAAACACTCTTCTCTTGATCCCACACCTTCCTCCAGCTCCTGGATTTTTCTGGTTTCCTAACGGCAAAAGATTGTCTATAACTAACTCACTGCCTCCAATTTCCTACTCCCATTCTTTCTAATCAGGCATTTGGCCCCATCACTTTGTCCCCAACCACTGTTACCAATGACCCCAGTGACCTCCATGTTACCAATCTAATGCTTCATTCCCAGTCTTCGTCTTACTTGACCCATTTTCACTTGGCTTTAGGGAGAACACACTGCCTTTGTTTTCCTCCTCCCTCCCTGGTTACACCTTCTCAGTCAGCTTTGCTGGTTCCTCTTCATCTCTCAAACCTCTTAACATCCTTGGGCCTCTTTGTCTCTCCATCAGCATTCCCTCCAGTGATGGTTAAGATTGTGTGTCAGCTTGGCTGGGCCATGATTCTCAGTGTTTATATGTGATCACTCCCTTGATGGGATCTGCTGTGAGGAGCCGATCAGTTGAAAGGGAGTTTCCTTGGGGGTGTGGCCTGCATCTGAATATAAGCAGACATTCTGGCTTTTTGCTCTGCTCTGGATCCTGCAGCTGCCTCCTGTTCATCTGACTTCCAGTTCTTGGGACTTGAGTTATCAGCTTATCTGCCAATCTTGGGATTCGTCAATCTTCACAGCCTGTGAGTGGAGCCCTGCTGTCTGACCTGCTGATCTTGAGTTCGCCAGCCCCTGCAGCTACGTGAATCAGAAGAAGCCTTGCGGTCTTGCCTGCTACTCTTGGGATTTGTCGATATTCACAGCCTGTGAGCAAGAGCCCTCCTTGCCAATCTGCTTATCTTGGGTTCGCCAGCCCCTGTGGCTACGTGAATTGGGAGAGGCCTCTATCCTAATCCACGGACCTGGGACATTCCAACCTCTACAATTGTGTGAGCCATTTGTTTGATATAAATCTCTCTATATACATATTTACACGCTTTACTGATTCTGCTTCTCTAGAGAACCTAGCCTAAGACACCTCCCTAGATGATCAAGTCTAGTCTTATGGCTTTTAAAATACCACTCATTCTAGTGATTTGCAACCCTGGCTGCACATTAGAATTACTTGGGGAACATTAAATTAGAATCTCTTTAAGTCCCAGGTATTTATATCCGCAGTTTAGACCTCACTCATTGACTACTGAAAAAAAACCAAGCCTGTTGCCATCAAGTCATTTCCAACTCATGGTGACCCATGTGTTACAGAGTAGAACTACAATCCATAGAGGTTTCTTAGCTGTAATCTTTACAGAAGCAGATCACCATGTCTTTCTTCCGTGGTGCCTCTGGGTGGGTTTGAACTGCCAACCTTTCAGTTAGCAGCCGAGTGCAAACTGTTTGTGCAACCCAAGGACCTGTCCACGAACTAGACTTGTATCTTCAACTGCCTAATTGACACCTCCACTTGGATGTAAACTATCTAAAACTGGATTCCTCTTAAACCTGCTCCTCCAGCCGTCTTCCCTACCTTTACAAATGCCAGTGTCATCCTTCTACTTGTTCAGGTTTAAAATAATCTGTTTCCTTTGTGGTTACCTTAATATTTACCCCTATTTTTCTAAGTTTATACCAGTCTTTCATTTCTTTGTATCGCCTTGACTTCGTCTCCATATGAAAAATCT